GAGAGAGAGAGAGATTTATTGTTACCTGGATTTAAAGAGTGTGTGGTTGATAAAAATTGTGGAAATGGTTGCATAGCTTTAAGATACTATTGTTGTTGTTATTTTGTTATTTTAAATTATGCGTGTGTCTGTAGTGCTCATGAAGGACAGAAGAGGGCAGTAGATCCCCTGGAGCTGGAGTTACAGGCAGCCACCTGATGTGGGTGCTGGGAACCCAATTCCAATTATCTGCAAGAACAATGCTTGTTCTCAACCACTGAGCCATCTCTCCAGACCATGGACTCATTTTAACAATCACTGAACTCTGAACTTACAAAAGGTGTATTTTATACATCATGTAAATTAACCTCAATAAACTATAAGGAAGTTATATTTCTTATCTTGAACAAGTAATTCATGTTAAGGGCATCATTAAAAATATTCACAAAAAATCTAAAAACTCATAAGAATGCTTTTTAAGAGTTATAGAAAAACTAGAAACATTCTAAATGATTAGAAATAATGCATTGTTAAGAAAGGGTAAGACTTCCGAATGGTCATTAAAATCAGTATTTGCAAGGAATTTTTGAAGGATCTGGGTTACTGCTTAGGATACAATACCAAGTTGTTCTTATGGCCAAATTACACTAAGAGAAAAATGAATTTATAAACAAATGTTTGTGTATGTGCACATATGTGTTCATGTGTGTGCACATGTGTGTGTGGGTGAGTGCATATATATGTGTGTGTGTGTGCATGTGTGTAGAAGCCAGAGGTCATCACTGAGCTGCTTCTTCGCTTATCTCTACACTGTTTTTTGAGACAGGTCTCTGATTGAACCTGGAGCTCACAGAGTTGCCCAGACTGTCTGTCCAGCAAGCCCCATGGTTCTTCCTGTCTCCATGACCCCTGCACTGGGATTACAGGCACTCACTGCCATGTCTAACTTTTCCTTGGGTGCTTAGAATCAAACTGAAGTCCTCATGCTTCCCCAGCAAGCACTTTACCAACTAAGCTGTCTCTGCGGCAGCCATCTTTAAACAGTTGACTGTCCTGTGAATGCATGATCTATAAGTAGCATAACCAGATGCCTGTGTGCATACATTGCTTTCCATCTGGATCCCTTTAAATAGCATCCTGCTACTGTGAGCTTTCCCATAGGTGGGAGAGTCCATAGACCCTCACCTCATGGTGCCCTCCCACCGGCACCTTTCAGGTATTTATACGCAATCCTGCCCTAGTCGTGTGTGGCCTAGGCATTTAGGGAAATGCTAAGTGTATAGGCTGTGGGAGATTAACTGAGAGTCTCTTTATCTACATGGTTATGGGGATGCAGGTGGAGAGTTTCCAGCGTGACTGCTCTGGGGCCACCCACACGCTGGCAACACCCCACCCACTTTTTGTAAGTGAGCCCAATGAACTCCTTGCTTCTCCACGATGAGCTTAAGTGAGCTGGTCTTCAGTCTGTTGTTGGAGTCTTAGGAGGGAGGGGAAAGATGTGGTTAACATATCCTTGGAGGAAAGAACTCTCACAACAGCCAGCATGGCTCAGAATTTTCCATTCCTGCCTCTACCTGCTTGGGATTGCAGACACGCATATATATGCACGAGTGCAGTGTGTGTGTGTGTGTGTGTGTGTGTGTGTGTGTGTGTGTGTTTGTGTGTACATATATACACATACATATATTTATTTTCATTTGTTGATTATACTACAATAGATCTGGAAAGATTCAACAAGTGATTTGGGGCTACTTTTATTTCTGGAGCGTATTTTAGTTCTGAAATATAAACATCATTTGTGTTGACAAAAGATATTGTCAAGTTTTTAAAATAAACACATCTAATGTCCAGACACGAAGCTTTAGACTGGTTTCTTGGAACATGTGCACGAGAGCAGAGGACAGCCCAGTTTCATCTCAGGGTCATTGGGTGACTTCCAGCTGTCATCAAGCATAAACCCACAGCAAACACTCACCCCATGAAGAATCCAAGTATGGGTGAGCGTTTGTTTCTTGTCAGAGGGTCTCATTCTGTAGCCCAGAGTGGCCTGGAATCCACTTCGCAGCCCAGGCTAGGAAGTAGCTATGGGAGACGGAGGATACAGGACAGGCGAGCCCGGCTGCTCCAGGCCTGCTCTCAGGATAGGGTACTCAGAGGGCAAGAGACAGTCAGCTTGTTCACAGCAAATAGCCATAGCTGTGCAGAGCTAGGTCCAGCTTCAGGAGTGGGCGAATGAGATGAGAGGGGTCAAATGCAGGCTGACCCTCGAAGCAGGCTGCCACTCCTGGAAAAGGTGGGCAAAGATGGTGACTGTCTGGCTCAAACACACATACTGTGAGTCATGCTACAGCCAATAGCACATGCATCCCATCCCCCCACCCCAGCAGTCCTATGGGTAAGACAAACGAACAGGATCACCGTCCCAGAGGCTCAAGGATCAAGCCTTCGAGGGTATCTGGCCCCCTTAGTCACATGGGTCAGGTCTCCTTTCTGCAGGAGCAAAAGCCCTGCTCTCAGTGCCAGCCTCCACCTGATCTCTGACCCATCTCATGCCCGTAGAACAGGGGGCACACATGTACCCCAGCTTATACCCATTCTTGAGTATCATCATGAAGTTAGGTCAAGGGGAGTTCTACCAAGCATGTCCCTATACATGAAAACGTTCATCTTGTGAGTCGTTCTCCCTAGATGCAGTATCAGTGAACCGTGCCCCACTTGAGTTCCTGAACATGAGCCACAGGCATCCTCCTTTCAAGATCCATGAACCCTATCTATCCCCAAGTAACACCTGTGGGATCAGGAAACAGGCTAATTACCCCAACCATGCCCACAAGCCCCACCTACTCCCCAGCCCACTAGTGGGCTATGTTCCTCCGTATTTTTCTGCCCAGCTCAGGCCTTGCTTAGCTGTCTGCTCCAGGGTTGTGCAGAGACCTGTGTGGTGACGTAAGCAGGGAGAGGCCAGGGAGGCTGACTGGAGTCAGGCTCCTCAGGCTCAGACTGGAGGTGGCTCCCTGGGCTCAGACCTGCCAATTAAAGGTGAGGGAGATGAAAGAGGAAAGCTCCTGTAAGCAGTCTTGCAGCCTGGCAAGATGAAAGCCAAGCCAAGTCCTGTTTTACGGCCTCCAGAATGGGAGGATTCTAGGTGTTCTTTATTATAGCAGTGAGAGCTTGTAATCACAGAGACCTGGGAGCCACTGGAGCTGCCTGCCAGCTTTGCCCTCCTCTGCCGGCTGGCTTTGACAAATCACAGTACCACATTTACCCCACCCAGGGACCTGGGGACAGGCTAATTACCTTAGACCTCTGTCACAGGCCCCAAACCACTCCTGGTCCAGAAAATACACACCTGGTCCTCTCGAGCCCAGGAGCCTCACACCCCGCTTCTCTATGTAGTTCTACTTCTAGCCAGAGCCAGGGAGCTCTGGCCACTGTAGGCAGAGAGAGCAGAGGTGTGAGGCTGGGGGTGCTGAGTGGGAGGTTCAGAGGGATGGCCTGTCATAGTCTGACCCTTGCTCCCAGATGCAACTCTGTGCAGCATGCCCTGCCTTTTGTTTCTTAATGTGTGTCTGTCCTTAAAAGGCTAGAGACTCCGAGCAGAAGGGTTTGTGTTGGTTTCTTTTGGTTGCTATAACTCCCCAAAGTTAGTGCTTAAAGCCATGTGGATTTATGTCATTCTGGACGGTCCAGTCTCATCAAGCTAACATGAAGGGCAGCCCCGCCGCTTCCCATCTCCTTCCCTTTCATGGTCATAGGCTCAGGCATTTATCCCCAAAGCCACAGTCACCTCACTCCTAACCTCTGCCTCCTCCACCATCAGGTCGTCCACCTGTGTTCTGGCACCTGCACTCTCCTTATAAGGGCCTTTGTGATGAAATGGACACACCCGGGCAATCCCAGGATAGCATTCCTTCCATCTGTAAACACAGCCACTCAGCCACTTGGTGACACAGCATGGTCACCAAGTCCAGGCACCGGAACACCAGTATGGATAGTCGGGGGATTGTTATGGTTTAAGGGTGAAATGTCCCCTGTAGGCTCAAGTATTTGAACATCATTTCCCTAGCTTCTGTGTCTCAGGAAGTTGGGACCAGAGACATGACTGGCAAAGGTAAAGCATGGGGTAAGAGTGGGAGTGGGGGCAGCCTTTGAGGGCTACAGCCTGGTCCAGCTTCAGATCCTATTTGTGGCTTCCTGACCTAGCCACCCGCCACATGTGAAACGGCTGCCCCATGTCCCTGCAGATATGGAGGAAGCCACTTCTCTTGCCCTGCCTTCTCTACCATGAAGAACTGTACTTTCTTCAAAGAGCGAGCCAAAGTAAACCTTTCTCTCTGAGGTTGTTCCTAACAGGCGATTCACCAACTGGACGTGGAGCCATCTGCCCCTGGGCTCTTTGTGCTCCCTGGGGCATCCCCAGTACCCAGAACACTGCAAACGCTCCATAAAGACACTAAATGAGGAGGTAGATGGAGACCATGGAGACAGATGAGCATACTATCTAATGTGGCAAACATCTGTGGCTAGCCAACGCTGGCACAGCACAGCACAGATGGTTTTGTGTATGTGAGCTCATCTAATCCCCCACAGTGTTCACTTGGCTTTCGTTTGTTTGGGTTAGGGTCTCACAGACCCAGGGTGGCTATGAACTAACTATGTGGCAGAGGACAACCTTGAACACCTACCTCCATCTCTCTGGTGCTAGTTTCACAAGTGTGAGCCACCACACTTACCCATGGTGTGTATGGTGCTAAGGATGAAGCAGGGTATCGGGCATGTTAGTCAGGTGCTGTACGGGCTGGGCCATCTCTCTGGGCCTCCCCAGCAGCAGCTCTGTGAGGCACATTTGGTTATTATTTGTAGTGTACAATGAGGAAGCAGGCATATCATACTGAATGGTGACACTACAATACACCATTTATTGAGCCTTTACTGTGCCCAGCTCCAAGCTGGGTACTGTGGATCTCTCATCTGAGTTCATCTCATTGGCTGGGGGATAGGGGGAGGAGTGATGAAGGAGATACAGAATAAGGTCCCTGGCTTGGCTGGGGGATGCTGGGAGATTTAGTGGCTCTGCAGTAGTTTCTTATTGCTCTTTGGGTCTCCATGAGATCAGGACCCTGTGTCCCAGATGACCCTAGATGTCTAGGATCTTAATACATCCTGGGGCTTCTACAATCTTTCCTCTCTGGAGCCACCACCCGCTTACAGAAGTTCCCAGTCTCCTGGGGGACTTTGACCTCCACCTAAAGGTAGATATGGCCACTCTGTCTCTTGAAGCCTGTTCTTTGAGAGGTAGGAATGAACTCCAGACCTCCCTCTCCTAGGGCTCAAGTTACATTGGCTGTTTTCCTGAGAACTGTACCCTGACGACTTCAGCACATCCTATGGCTGCTCTTGGTCTGGGTATTGGCCCAGCCCCCAGCCCTCTTCACCAGCTTCTTCTCTCGGTCCACCTATACCCATCTTCACTGGGTGCCTCTCTTTGCTCCTCATGGCCATGCACACACAGGCTTTGAGGAGCCCACACTGTCACCTAGCCTTCAGCTGCCCTCCTCTTTGGAGCAAGAACATGTCCCCACCAGGGAGAAGGCCCCATCCGCTCTCTCACATCTTAACCTTTGCAGTCGCAGCCAAGAGCAGACACTTGTGCCTGCCAGCACAGTGGGCCATCACATTTTCTGTGCCTGCCAGCACATTTTTCTAGGTCAATGTCAGATCAGGGAAATCCAATACTGCATGTCCCAACGTTTTATTTGAAAACAGAGCAGTTACTTTCCAAAATAAATAGTGTTTACAGGCAAGGCCGGGAGGAGAAGTGTCCACTAGAAGCGGACAAGAACTTCCTGGCTCGTCTGCTGCCAGGCTGGTGTCAGCCCCAGCCCTCAAGCCTTGGAGGCGCTGGCTAGAGGGGAAACACACAGAAGAGAGGTCACCTTTGCTGCACAACCACCCCCCTCCCCAGCCTTCTCCTTCTGCAACAAACACAAATGGTCTCCAGGCTTTGCCTTTTCCAATACAAGCCCCCCACACACCCTGCGGCCCCCAAACCATCTGCCTTACCCAACTGCAGCAACATGGCCTAGTTTCTGATACTCCTTCCTCCGGGTTTTCCCCCTCCCTGATTGGGCCACTCTGTACTGCATCAGGTCAGGCCCTCCCTCCCAGCCTCCCGATCTCTCCCCATCCTTACATGGTCCTTCCCAATACCACACCATGAGGCTGTTTTCCTTCCATTATCTCTGTTGTTCCAAAACCCATGCAGGCCCTCTCACATAAGCTCCATAGGCATGGTGTCTCTCCTGTGGTCCTATTCCACAGGGCCATGTACAACCCAGATGGGACCTAGCAATGGTTTTGAACTGATCATGTCACATACCTTACCTTCCACCTAGATGGCCATCTCTTTCTGGACAAGAATCAAACCTTGTGCTACCTGTGAGTCATATATAAGTCTCCATGGCGACAACCCAGCCTGAGAGCCCATAGGCTGCAGAACTGAGCTAGGTACTCACCTGTTGTTATTCAGAAATAACTGTGGCAGCTGGCAATCCTATCTGCACTGCATAAATGAGATCGCACTGGAGGAAGACGAAGTGGCTTGTCCAAAGTCAGCCATAGGGAGTAGCATTTGGCCTGGGTCCTGCCTGATCCCACCTCTCAGAACCCTGCAGGGGCCACATCCATGGAGGGGAATGTTAGAGGGTCAAGTACACTCCGACATGCAAACACAACCCTGTTGCTGGGAGACTACGTGGGTTCTGGGTTCATGTTGCCTAATAGAACTTTCAGTGTTTGTCTATACTCATGTCTGAGCTGGTCCAGCAGCAGCTACTAGCCACACGTGTCTGAAATGTGGCTAGTGGAACTACAAAACTGGATTTTTCACTTCAGTGGCGTTGGTATTGAACAGGGTTTTGCTGTGTATCTCAGGGTGCGTTCAAACTCACAGCAATCCTCCTGCCTTGGTCTCCTGAGTGCTGAGATTATAGGCATGTGCCAACATACCTGGCAGGAACTGAATTTTTGATTTGTTTCATCTTAGGGCTGGCGATGTAGTTCAGTTGGAAGAGAGCTTTCCTGCCATGTGCCCTGGCATGTGCCCTGGCATGCACCCTGGCATTCATGCCCAGTACTGCCCATACCAGCTGTGCTGACACAAATCTGTCATCTCAGCACTCAGAAGGTGGAGGTAGGAGATGAGAAGTTTAAGGTCGTTCTCTGATACTTGGCAAGTTCAAGGACAGCCTGGAATAAGTGACACCCTATCTCAAAGGATTTTTTTTATTAATTAATTTAAATAGCCATATACGTCAAACACCTGCCACCATATTGAGCCCATCTCCCAACCATGTTTGTGTGAAGCTAATATGGGAATCACCACTGCAGAATAATGAGGCTCCTTGTTGCCAGAGGCAGATAGCTGTTCAAGGAGCTGTCTCTCCCTGAGCCCCCTTGCTTCCCGGGTACATCAGTTTTAATGAGGGCCAGCTTTCCCACCTGCTCTAGGCTTAGAATACCTTTAGAGGCGCAGTAGGGGAGCAAAGAACTTTGTCGGCTCTTGTATGGCAACACACACACACACACACACACACACACACTCAAGGGTGACCCAGAGGAACCCGGTCTTCACTGAGCCAGAGCCTTCTTGGCCTTCACTGCGGATAACAGGACCCCTGTTATAGCAGGAGATCGGACTCTTAGCCTAGGCCAGGAGATCTGTTGGCATGGCAGCATCCCCTCAGATCCCCTCTTCTCTACACAGGGGCCGCCTTCTGATTAAGAGGTTCTTAGGCAACTGTTGTGGGCGTCAGTTTGGCGCCACCTCCTGGACATCTTTCAGAATGCAAGTGGCTACAAACCCAACCTGCAGGAGGAAGAGGGGCATGCTGCAGTACTGTCACTGTGTGGGCCTAGAATGGGAACATTCTAGAACCCAAGCTTTTGGAAACCTGACCACTCATGTTACATAAACTTCCAGTCTATGTTTACATTGAGAAACAAGGCATGTTTGTGAGCCTGCTGGGATTGGTGGAACAGGTGGAGGGTGTGCTTCTCATGTGGTCCTAAGAATTAGCCATGTGACCACTTGTGGCATCTGCTGAAGTGTCTGTCCTTGAGAATAAACCCTGGGTATGAGCAGGGAGGAGTGAGGCGCTAGGAGTGCCCAGAAAGTGGAGACCTTGTGGAGACCATGTGGAGAGGTGTCAGTCAGCCCCCAGATGATCAGCCTGCCTCAGAGGTTATTATTAATAAATAATTTATCATTATTATTTATTAATGAATAAATAAGAGTATGGTTGCTTTTATTCAGACCATCTAGTAGATGACTAAGGCTACAGTGGCTACAGGAGGGGGAAGACCCAAGAGAAGAGATGATGATGATGGTGATGATTATGATGATGATGTGTGTGTGTATGTGTGTGTGTGTGTGTC